TTTCAAAAAACACACACATACATATAAAAAATATTATAAAATATGAGATTATTATTCTATTTTTTATTCTCATTATCTAATGATTTACTTATATAATATGTTATCTTGTGCATTTATTTTATGCCTTTCATCATGTAGTAATTTATTTTGTTAATTGAATTTGTACTTGACTTGAAGTCTTAATTTATTTATGTCATTTTATTTTTGCTAATCACTAGTTAAATTAAATATAAATTACCAACAAAATATCAAAAGCAAAAAATATTTTCATTGTATACAAAAAAAATAACATAAATACAGTCAAAGGTTAAGAGCCCACTTATAACAATTAGGACCAACATGATACAACTGGACCTGTGTGTCATGATGATCTATGCGCCTAAAATCTTTTCGCCCAGCATGACACATATATATGTACCGTGCTTGGCCCAACTTGATTACTTAATAGCAAGTTGTGCCAAGCACAATCTATATATCGTGTCGAATTTTGTCGTGTTATAGGCCACCTAACCCATTTGATGCCTTTAATTTTAATCTTTGTAGAAAAGTTGGTTTTGTATTCAAAATATATTTCTAACATAAGCTATCTTGGAAAACTTATTCTTTTGTGATTGAAACATATTAAACCAATTTTCCAAGATGCTTTTCAAATATTACCAAATTAAAATTTTTTTTTTATTTAGTACCAAAGTATTTATCAATTAATAACTTGTACTAAATAGTTCTTAATAATCAATCTATTTAACTTAATATTTTTCCATTTCAAAATAAAGATTCATTCAAAATTAACAAATTCATCCAACTTAATCAAAATTGCTTTTAGAAAAGCTAGAAATAATCAATGAGTAGTATATGGAATGAAATCTTAGTCTTTAAATATTCATTAAGAGTTGGCAATAGCTATGTGACCTGTTACTTGAGTTTGGCTTTTTAATTTCAGTAATCAAGATTCAAATCCTAACAATTTTAATTATATCTATTGGTAAAATTAAGTACATAATCTACTTCAATTATTATTTTTCAATACCCCAATATTTGATCAACTATCATCTCTAAATAAGAATGAAAATTTTATCTAAATTCAATAAAAATTTTGGTTTTTTATTCAAATGAAAAAGAGTATGAATAATAAATTTTGGAGATATGGATGAGGATAGGAATGATTTTGAAACTTATGTTTGATATATAGATGAGGATAAGCAATACAACATCCATCCTATACCCTATATATATTTAAAAATATTTTTTTAGGGTTTCAACTTTCAAACTTTTTGTGATCTACCGTTTCTTATATGTTAATAAGAGTTATAATATGTATATATTACATAAACATTGATAAAAGAAAATTTATGTACTATTATTTTTTTCTTACTAATGATAAGTGTTTCTTGTTATTTAATTTTCAACAAGTTATTCATGAGGTCATTGATATGTGCACCATGAGAAATTTTTAAGATGATGAATTTTTTTTTAATTATCTTTTTATACTAAACCTTTGTATGGTTTTTATTTGGTGAATTTTTGTAATTTAGATCTGTATTTTTTTTAAGTTTTTATTTTTTAACTAATATTAAATATTTTAATTTTAATTTTTAATATTTTTAAAGAACTACAAAAAGTGAATTCATAAAAACAAAGAAATTAAATCGTAAAAGTCTCTCCTAGGTTTGATGAGAGTTTTTGTCTTGTCTTAGTTTTAAGTACAAGGTTTCGTGTCTCCTGGGAATTTTTGGAGGGGAGAGTCTGTGGTTTGCAATCGACGGCTACGGTGATTATTATACTTTGGTGTTTCAATCGTTTTCTTCTGAGATCTTCTAGGACTGGAGGATGGCTGAGGAACTGGAGGAGCTATGGTCAAAGCTCTCATTGACAGAAAGAAGAGAGGGGAGGTTAGGGTTGAAAAGGGATGGATTGAATCCATTGAGGCGGAGGGTAAAGCTTGCCTCCTAAGGAAGGTTCTGGAAATATGGAAGCCATGAGGATAGTCCTGTACAAATATGGAAACTGGAAAAAGGTTTGCAGATAACAGAAGTAGGAGAGAAACTTTATCTATTTCATTTTGAGGATATGATGGAAAAGAACAGGGTACTATTGACTCAACCATGGACGTTTAATAATGCTTTAGTTATGCTTAGAGAGTTTGAAGGCTCGATCCCATCGGAGTCCATTGATATGAGCAGGTGTCCTTTCTGGATCCAAGTTTTTGGGCTGCCACTGAAAATGATGAACAAAAAGAGGGGATAGTTATAGGAGAAATAGTGGGTGATGTAGAAGAAGTCGACTCGAATGATGATAATGTTGCGTGGGGCAAATAGCTCAGAATTAGGGTTAGCTTAAATGTTAATATGCCTTTGAAAAGGGGCATGAGGATTGCAGTTACAGATGGAAGTAAAGTCTTAGTGATGTTCAGATATGAGAAGCTTCCCAATTTTTGTTTTGTGTGCGGTAAGCTTGATCGCCAGGAAAACAAATGCAATATTGCAATAATGAGGAAAAGCGAAAGGGGGTCAGTTCGAAAAGAATATGGTCGATGGATGTGTGCAGACTCCACGAAGTTACGGTCTGTTAGATCAAAGGGATATACTCCAAGCGATTATAGTGAAAACAGTAACTCTGGTTATAATCCATATGGTAAGTTCCCTGGAACTAAGAAGATGACGATGGAGGCAGTAATAGGCGATGGGTCAACGGGGGATAGCCAGGAATGTGCGTCAGGGAAACACGAAGGGAGAGGCGAAAATCAAGGAAGAAGTCAATGCAGGGCTAAGAATAAGGCGAAATCTCATCCCGAGAATGACAAATATAAAGTTGTTCTAATTAGCAGTGGGGGTTTAAGAGGGAATGCTAAATCTACAGAGAAAGACACTATTGAATCAAATCTGGTTGAAGAGAAGATTAGGGAGGAAAATTTGAAGCGCCCAAGTTCAAATCTTGATGCTTGGGGCCAAAACCAAAGGAAAACAAATCATGGGCCGGAAGGGGATATAATAGGGGAGAACAAACATGAGATTGTTACCAACTCGGCCCATAGGAGGAGCCCTAAAAGATGGAAATGGTTTGCAAGGAGCATGGGTAAGAAGATTGTTTTAGAACAAGAAAACGGACTCTACGTAATACTCAAGATGATCATGAGTCAGAGAATGGGAGCAAGAAACAACAATGCTTTATGGAAGTGAACTAATATAGTGCTCATAATGACTTAACGGTGGTGGTTGGTGAGGATCACCAGCCCCGCCGGCAACAATGAAGCTCTTTGTCTGGAACTGTTGAGAGTTGGGGGTCCCTCGAGCGGTTCATGAAGTGATCAAATTGGTCAGGATGTCCCTTAGTGCTTTTCCTAATTGAGACAAAAAGGGGGCGGTGAAATGGAGAAGTTAAGGGTGAGATGGGGTTTTGATAATATCTTCACGGTGGATAGCGTTGGTAGAAGTGGGGGTTTGGCGTTGTCGTGGATGAATAATATTGATTTACAATTGATGACCTTTTCAAGGAGGCATGTGTACACGAAGTTACATTTGGAAGGTGGTGGCCATGTTTGGAGGTTTACTGGTTTCTATGGGCATCCAGAGACACAAAAGAGGAAGGAGTCGTAGGATCTTTTACGGTCCCTTTACAAGACATCGGAGCTTTCATGGGTGTGGGAAGATTTCAATGAATTGTTATCAGATGATGAAAAGGTATGGGGCATGAAACAGCCTGCATGGCAGATCAAAGATTTCAGAGACGCCGCTGATAATTGTGAAAAATGAGATACCAGTCAGGGGCCCTCGGTTAGCATGGCAACCCGGGAATGGGGAGGAATGCGTGTATGAGAGGTTGGATTGATGTTTTGCGTCAACTGCTTGGCTAAACCTTTTCCCTTTTTCGTTGGAGGATAACCTTGCGGCAACTACATCTGATCATTTGCCATTACTGTTGAATATACAAGATAAACCACCTCAAAGGCATGGGGCCAAGAAAAGAATGTTCAGATTTGAAAACATTTGGGCACAACATGTGGAATGCGAGGACGTTATTAGGGAGTGTTAGGATAGAATATAGCCAAATTTGTTGGGAGAAATCTTGAACTGATTGCAAAAGTGCAGTAATAGGCTAGGATCGTGGAATAAAGAGGTTTTTGGGCATGTCCAGAACCAGATAAACCCCATAAACAAAAAGAATTGCGAGACCTGCTAAGCAAAGAACAAAGTGGAGAACAATCGGGAAGGGTACAAGATTGCAAAGAAGTGCTGAGTGGCTTACTACAAAGGGAAGAAATTAAACAATGTGGAGGCAACGATCAAAAGAAGTCTGGCTTGTGGAGGGCGACCAGAACACACGGTTCTTCCATGCATCTGCTTTTAATAGGAGGAAAAATCTGATCACCAAGCTAAGAGATGATACAGGAAGGTGGATATCAAATGGGAGGGAGATTGAACGAATCTTTGTGGAATATTTCCAAGGTATTTTTACTACTTTTCTGGTTAGTGAGCTTGAAAGAGTTGTTGATTGTGTGGAGGCAAGGGTCATAGACGAAACGAATTTGTAGCTTGAACATGATTTCACGGCAGCAGAAGTAAAAGAGGCTTTGTTTCTTATGCACCCTAGCAAAGCTGCCGGGCTAGATGGTATGATTGCTTTTTTCTTCCAAAAATATTGGCATGTTGTAGGGGAAGGCATTTTTAATGCTGTTCTAAATTTTTTGAATAACAGAGGATCGCTTGTAGATGTTAATCACACCAATATAGCACTTAAACCGAAGGTAAATACTCCAAAATCTAACACAGATTTTCGTCCTATAAGTCTGTGCAATGTTTTGTACAAAATTATCTAAAAAATGCTGGTGATTAGGATTAAAATTTTTCTCACAAAGATTATAGGGCAGAATCAAAGTGCTTTTGTGTCCGGCCGAATGATTTTCGATAATGCAATAGTGGCGCGCGAGACAATTCATGCTATGCTAAACAAAAAGAAATGTAGAATGGGTCAGATGGCATTAAAACTAGACATGAGTAAGGCTTATGACCGGATGGAATGGAGGACTATCTAGAAAGGGTGATGGGAAAGATGGGTTTCTCGGCAAAATGGGTCTCAAGAATCATGACGTGGTACGTGGTGTCCCAGATTCGATGATGGTGAATGGTAATTAATTTGAATGGATTCGTCCGAGCAGAGGGCTCAAGTAGGGAGATCCATTATCACCTTATCTTTTCCTTTTCTGCATAGAAGGGTTGTCATGTCTGCTGAATCAGGCTGAAATAAGAGGCGAAATTCATGGAGTGGCAGTGACAAGAATGGTGCCAGGGGTATCCCATCTGTTATTTGTAGATGATTGTCTGCTTTTCCTAAGAGCCAGTATTGCAGAATGCCAGGCAATGCTAAATCTTCTAAAGATTTATTAGAATGCTTCAAGGCAAATGGTCAATATTACAAAATCTGCTGTTTCTTTTTAGCTTAAGTAAAAATGCTACATTAAGGGAAGAAACCAAAGCAAGGCTGGCGGTCACAAAAGATTTGATCGAGGATTGTTATATTGGGCTGTCAATTATGATAGGGAGATAAAAAGAATGACGTTCCAAAGGTTGAAGGAAAAAGTGTGGAAGAAATTACAAGGTTGGAAAGGGAGGCTCCTTTCTCATGTAGAAAAGGCAATTCTAATTCAAGCGGTGGCTCAAATGGTACCCACATACTGCATGAGCTGTTTCTTACTTCCAAAAAATTTTCTGCATGATATTAATATGATGATGGCCCTGTTTTGATGGAATAATGGATGTGAGAGGAAAAGAATACTTTGGAAAAACTGGGACTCTCTATGCCAAGCAAAACAGGATAGTGGTCTTGGGTTCAGGGACTTTGAAGCGTTTAATTTGCCTTTGTTGGCTAAACAAGGATGGCATTTTCTGTTTATGCTACAGGATCTTATGAGCCAGGTACTTTCATAACACTTCCTTCTTACACGCGAAAGCGGGCCACAACCCTTCCTATGCATGGCGTAGCTTGTTAGTTGGAAGGCAAGTCCAGGTGCAGGGATAATGTGGAAGGTGGGAGATGGAATGAGCATAGATGCATGGGAGGATAAATGGATCAGGAAACCGCCTCTGTTCAAACCTTTAGGTTTCCCTAATCAAGATGGCCAAAACCTTAAAGTAGCTTCGTTGATGGAGGTCAACAGGAGACAGTGGGATGAGGACTTGCTAGAGGACGTAAACTTGATACTCCAAATTCCCTGAAGTCGTTGTACTATTCTAGACAAGTTAATATGGACTGGTGCAAACAGTGGAAACTTCTCAGTGAGTTCTTCCTACCATTTGGCTCAATCACTGCTGGGGAAACAAGTAGGGGATAAAAGCAACCGATCCTAGGTATAGGAGTTGGTGTGGAAAGCAAGAGTCTTGCCTAAGGTCTTGGACGTTGCTTTTACTGCCCAAACTGAATCAGCAAGGCTAGGTATGGTGACCCGAGATAGCAGAGGTATTGTGAAGCTGAGTGCAGCAACATACACTTCAAACAACCAAAGTTCGCTCCACGCTGAGATGCATGTAATCCTGTTCGGGGTTGGTATAGTTAAGAAGAAAGGGTTTGAAGTAGAGGGATGCATGTAACGCCTAATCCCTTTTATATTGTAGTTATAACTTTTAAGTTCATTTTGAAAAATTGAAATTGTTGATTATAATTATATTAACCATAAATATTTGAAATGTTTTGCATTATAAATTTGCCTATTTGAAATTTCATTGTGCAATCTTGAGTAAGAACTACAGTTTAATTAAAAAATTATTTTTATTACTTTTTTACCGATTACTTATATATTTATGTTTTATTTTAAATTTTGCATCCTTTGAAACTTATGTTTATTTGTGATAATGATCTTATGACATTTGAATATTATATTTAAATCCCATAAAATAGTACGTGGCCTTTAACTAGCATATTAAGTAATTTATATATGTTATTCTTTTGGTCTTCTTTGTTTTTTTATCTATTTATTTTTAATTTTATCATCCCTTTTCCTTTGAACAATTAATTTTTTATATTTTAAATTTTACTTTGTTAATATTAGAAAATACGAAACATCAATTTTATAATATAAATGCAGTAAAATCAAAATTATTTTTATTAAAAATTTGATATAAATTAAAAATAAAAAAGAGGGATAAGGCTCAAAGATAGGGATGGCAACGAGTCGGGTCGGGTCGGGACGAGTTTTTGCTCGCCCGATCGACCCAACTTTAAACATGCAAAATTCGAACCCGATTTGATAATTTTTTATTATTTTTTATATTCGAACCCAACTTAATCAGACATTATATAAAATCATATCTGATTCGACTTGATCCAAAATTAATAAAATATTATTTTTAATATAAATATAAAATTAAATATATATAAAAATATATATAAATAATTAAAAAATTATTTTATATAAATATCTGATCAAATAAGATCGAATTTACTTAAAACCTGACTCTAATTTTTTTTCATGTCACTCCACGCGATTTGATACCTAATTTAAAAAAAAAAAAAAACCCTAAATGAAATTCAAAGAATATGATTGTTCCAGCAAGTAACTGCCCTTGCCATATATATCCAAGGCCAAAGACGTATCTAACATTCCAACTAACACCAACGAATATGCTCACGTAGGGAATATAATAATTACTGATATTATTTTTTTTATTATGAGATAGGGATTTTTAGGATTTTACTTAGTATATTTCAATATATATTTTTTAAAAATTGATCTAAATAAATTTATATATGTAAAATTAATAAATTTATAAAAAATATTTTTATAACCTTTTAATAGATTCTAATAAAAAAATAAAAACACTTTTTTTTGCTTAATCAAGCTAATTATTACTACTATTATTTAATAAAACTAATAAATTATTTGCGGTGAGAGAGAGTTTTTTCTTTCACGCTACAATTTTACCCAGCCGCCCACTCGGCATTTTACCTTTAACCACGCACTTTCCCTGCTTTGTTTTCTCCGCCAACTCCCATTGTTACTTTTTCTCTTTCCAATTCATTCCAACAGCTGTCAGATTCTTTTGATAAGAAAGATATAGATTTAAGAAAATATTATTTAATATTTTTTTTCACAGGATAATTTTACCAAAACGCCCTCTCGCTTTTCTTTCTTTGTTTTCTCCGCCGGGCCCTTTTTTTTTTTTTTTTTTTTTTCTCTTCCCATCTGTTCCCGGCACCTGTCAGATTCTTTTAACAAAACAGATAACAATTTAAAAAGTTATTATAATTTTTTTACATTAAAAAAATAAAATTTTAATATAAATAAGAGAACCTAAGGATTTGATTTGAAATTAAATTTTTAATATTTTTTAAATATTTTTAATTATTAGGTTAAAGGTTTGAAAATAATTATAATTTAATAAAAAGGAGGGAGTCAATAAAATTAAAATAATTTCATAAAATTTTAATTATTTATTTTAATAAATTTAATAAATGAAAAATAAATAAAATAAAAATTTTAATCTCATCTTTTAATTATATTAAAATTAATATTTAAAAATATATAAAACTTTTAAGTTTAGATGATATAAATTAATTATTTTTCTTTAACAAATATTAATAAATTATTGTGGTAGTTGTAAGTCTTGTCGCAGTGGAATTATTAATGTCCCACCATACACTCCATTACCGGTATATTTCAAGATCGTAAGTTTCATAGAATTTATAAACATATATAATTTTTATTTTGTCAAATAAATAATAAAACAGAAAATTTAAAGGATAAATTTAAAATGAAAAAAGATAAAAGTATATGTTAAGTATATATATTATTTAAAAGGTGTTTGATTTGTGAATTTTTAAATTTTAAGAAAAAATTTGATTTACAAAAAAATTATATTGAAAAAAATTATAAGATTTTTATATTTGATTTATAAGAATGTACTACTACTTAATAAAATTTTTTATTATATTATCATAGATAAAATATAAATAATATATGATATTTATAATATTAATATATAACACGTCACACGTGAATACACTTTATCTTAGTTTAAACTAAATAATTTTGAAAATAATATTTTTATATTTTTAACAATTATAATTTTATAATTTTAATTATTATTGTAACATTATTTTTAAGCAGAGAAAAACGTATTTTATTTTTTATATTTTTAATAAAAATTTTATTTTTATCTTAGAAAAATTATTTTTTTAACAAAAATTATGTTTTTATATTTAAAATATCATATTTATTAAATTTTAAAAAATATATACTTTATTTTTCAATAAAAATTATATTTTTATCTTAGAAACATAATTTTTTCAACAAAAATTATGTTTTATTTTAGAAATGTTAACTTTATTGAATTCTGAAAACTATATTTCTCGTGTTTTTATCTTACAAACTTTATATTTTCAATAAAATTGTATTTTTATCTTATAAATGTCATCTTTATTAAATTTTAAAAAATATTTTTCATGTTTATAACATAAACTAAGTTTTTATCTTAAAAATATCGTCTTTTCAATAAAAATTATATTTTTGATATTAAAAACATCATTTTTATTAAATTTTGAAAAAAATTTATATTTTTAACAAAGATCATATTTTTTATTTTAAAATGTCATATTTGTTGAATTATGAAAATTTATTTTTATCTTTTCAATAAAAATATATTTTTAATAATAACTTTTAAGAGGATTCCAATAATATTTTATTAAAAACACGATTTTTTAAAATATATTAAAAGAAATTTATTTTTATAATATTTTTAAAAAAATTACTATATTTCTAAAATAAATAAAATTATTTATATAATTTAAAAATACAATTAAATGAGAACAAATGAAAAAAATATTTTTTTTAAATTTAAAAAACCTCATGAAAAAAAGAGTTTTTAATTCTCTACTTTTTCACTTCTTGATATTATTTGAAAATCTTAAAAAACCCCATTCATGAATTAAACTAAAAAGTCAAATTATAAAAAATTAAATTAAAAAAATTATTTTCTTATAAGCCAAACTTCTTCTCAAAAAAAAAAAATTTAGGTAACGCCAGTGCTTATACCGTTTATTTTTGTTTCATATTAAATATATATAAAAATATTATATTATAATTCATATAAATACATTAACCACGTAACATATATATTAATTTTTATTAATTTTATACATAATCTTTTTAAAATTTACATTATGTTTAAAATTTTTTTGTCGTGTTACCGTGTGTTCCTAAAATTACCTTTTCTTCATCCTGGCACTTATGTCATACGCTACCCCACCACATTATTCAGCTGTGCTTATAAATGAAGGGCAGTCCGCATCCACAAAGAGCAACGCTGGAAGTAGGTGGTCTGTAGTCGTCTACTGAGAGAGAAAAATGGGTTTGAAGGTGTGATTTCCTTTCTTTTCTTCTTAATTCGTAATCTAATTAATTAATTTATTTTGTCGTTTGATCTTGTTTTTGGTTGTATTTTTTTTATGATTTTTCATTCATTCAGCCAAACAACCACATCTGCTAGTGTTTGGAATTGTTTCAGTCAAACCTGTCTGATTGATTATTTCCTCATGATTTTTCTTGGCAACAATTTTTAATTTTAATTAAAAAAATCATTTGAAGAAGATTATCTTCAGATCTGGAAGTTTCAGGCATCGTATTCAACTGAATGGCTTGAAGTAATATGCAAATCCATGGATCTCTTCAAGGATTCATCAAACTTTCTTTTTCTGGCCTACTGCTTTCGGCTACTATTAAACCAAAGTAGCGTAAAACTTGCTGAAAACATCAACGCCTACCTTCTGCTACTACAACTACTCATACTTAACTTAATCATTCTGTAAAAGTTTTTTGTCAATTTTGGCATATTCTTTAAGAATTTTGACTTGACAATTTCATTTAGTTTTGGAGATTCTGTTTGTAAGCGTAAGTTGTCTTATGATTAAAAGGATATTTTAACGAACTCAAATCTTAGTTTCATGCAGTCATCTCACTTTCAGTAGATTAATAGTTAAAATTTCAATACTTGCAATCTCTTCTTCAGTGTACAAGAGAAAATATCTGTACTTTTGTATTTTGGGAAGGACCAAACTATTTGTATGAAGCTGATTGTTGTTTCCTATGTGCGCTTAGCTGATGTCTAATTGGGAATTTTTGGGTTTCAACACAATCCCCAATTACCTATCGAGGACTGTGGGTATTGCCCTTTTTCATTTTTGACATGCCATGCTGTTTATGGGTTATCTGCACATTTGTTATTGTTTCACTTCAATGTTATCCTTCAAAAAGATCAGTTGAGATCTTCATCTCCTTTCAATCTTTTGCTCTGTTAATGTTCTATCTTGATTCTACAGGAGGAATTTGAGGAGTATGCCGAGAAAGCCAAGACCTTACCAGACAACACAACGAATGAAAGCAAGCTCATTCTCTATGGACTGTTCAAGCAAGCTACCGTTGGACCAGTGAATACCAGTTAATATATATAACATTTAACTCATTTTAAACTTTTCTTTTTGTAACAATTCATGGGACTCATCGGTTTTTCTTTGTCCTATTTAAAGGTCGTCCTGGAATGTTCAACATGAAGGAAAGATACAAGTGGGATGCATGGAAGGCTGTTGAAGGTAGTTGTTCATCACAGATTATTTTGTTTCCTTGAAAACAATAACATATATGAATCAACTATCTATGAAATCCTTTGTTTTTTCTCTACATAGGGAAATCTAAGGAGGAAGCAATGAACGATTATATCACCAAGGTAAAACAGTTGCAGGAGGAGGCTGCTGCTGCGACTGCTTGATGTCTGACATCGTGTGTATTTCCTTGCCTATATCATTTGTCTTTGAACAAGTGAAACCAAGAATAAACATTGTACTTGTTTTTAATTGCTACTATGTGATTCCTGAGTTCTGGTTGTTTAAAGTAGATCTGTTTTATTTACTTATAGCATAAACGAGTTCAAATGAAGAAATGTTAGTGGTGTTGTGCTAATGGAACTGATTGGATCACTATTTCAAATACATACGGACATAACTGATGGAATATGCCTAAATCTATCTATATGATGCTTTGACATTTATCTTTTGGCCTATTGAGTGGTGCTAATGACATTGAATAATTGTCTTGTGGGGTTCTTTGAGAGGAGAGTAGGCTTTGAACTTTTGAAATATAAGCCATCCCTGATTTTCCCATATGGCTTTCTATGGGATCTTACTTTATATGGTTCATTTCGCACCATAATTTTTATTAACATTAATTATTAATTATAATTGAATATTGATTGCTCTGTATTTTTTTAAATGAATAATCTAGATATTTGAACGAACACACACACACACACTTGGTAAATTAATTCTTCTTCTATATATATTTATAAAACAAAATTCTTGAGATCTGATGGAGCAATAAAGGTGTTTATAAAGGTTGTTTGAATCACGAAATTATGTAGGATTAGATTGAGCTAATTAGAGTTTTGGTGTCTGAAATTTAGATAAATGTAAAAAATTATATTTAAAGAAATAAAATGTATAAATTATAGTTTAAATTTTCAAATAACATATCATTTTAATTTAAATTTTAAAAATATTAACTTAATTGGCAATAAGATATTTAACCAAAAAAATTAAATAATTTGTAAAAAATTCATATGTTGTAATGCTATATGGACTCCATTGATTATAAATAATTTTTTTATGATTCAAATAAAAATATATTTTAAATTTATATTAAAAATATTAATAATATGGATGGTGATTGTAAACAAACCATCATCCCCGATCACCATTAGCCAAGATCAATGGCCACCACCCCAGTTATCCTGCCCCAACCATCGACGGTCTCACCAGCCACCAAGAAAAAAATCATTCATGATAGAGTAGAAAATTTTAATTACAGAGAGGAGTAGTTGATCTGATCGGTTACAGATATTCATGCCCAATAAATATGGGACCCAAAATGATTCCAGCAGCCTATGGTTTTGATTTAGAGCCAAGTAATCCATTCTAGAATTTGGCTAGGCACAGGCTTTGCATTAATTCAAATCATGTATTCGGCCGAAGCTAAACTGATTCAAGTTGGTTGACCAAGTTTTTAGTATTTTCCTTCTTTAGTTGCTTTTACTTGGTTCTTTTTATTTCTTTATTTTATTACGTTCATTTTTTTTATTTGTGAAAATTTTGTAATAGGATTAAATAAAATAAGTGCCAATTAGATTTACACTGCATAATTAGGATGCATCATTTACTAAAATTTTTAGAAAATAAATCCATAAATTTCTACCAAATTAGTAGAGGTTTTATGGATTTAAAATTTCATCTTAGAAATTAAAAAATTGAGATCCTACCTATGTATTGAAGGATTTTCATAGGTTAAAATAGATTTTCGAAATCAATCTCATTAAACTATTAAATAATTTAAATTTAAATTAAATTTTATCAAAATATTGAAAAATTTAATAATTTTTATAAAAAATAAAATATTCAATTCTATCAAATTATTAAAGTATTTAAATCTCAAATTAAGATTTAGCAAACTATTAGAAGATTTAATAATTTTTATAAGAAGAAAATAAAAATTCAATTTTACTAAATTATTGAAGAATTTAAATATTTAAATTAAATCTTGCCAAATTATTAAAAATTTTAATGAATTTTTATGAAAAAAATAATTTTTTTCAATTTTATTAAACTACTGGAGAATTTAAATATCTTATTAAACTATTAGAATATTTAATGACTTTTTCTAAAATTTCATGAATAAATTTTTGAATAAAAAAATTTCATCAAACTATTGGGGATATGTATTGAAATAAAATTTTATCAAATTATTGAAGGATTTTATTGGTCATTTTTTAAAAAAATATATTTAAGTTAAAAAAATATATTAATGAATTTGACGACGGAACCACTTTTAGAGTAAAACACTAATATTCATGAATACTTCTAAAGTAAAAAAATTATCTTAGATTGCTATTAAATTAATTTTAAGAATAATTTTAATAATTAAATTATTTGATAAATTACAAACTTGATTTAAGGCTTAAGATAACACGAAATCAATCGATACTATCCTTAAGATAAATGTTGTCATGGTACTATAATATTCTTTATCCATAATCATACTTTTGAACCCAATTTTAATTTTGTGAAATAAAGTTTACCTTTTAATGACATTTGAGTCAAGATTGAAATTTCTCTTTAAAAGAAAATAATTTTAATAAAGTGATCAATCGTATCTAAATAAAAAAAATTGAAAGCAATTCTTAAGTTGTGTCTAGTGATAAGGTTACAAACCTATACGTTATGATAGTAAATATATTATTTGATAATATTTGTCAACCTTATATATATTATCTGAAATTATTAGTGTAATTATAGTTTGGATTAATGATACAAAATTTGTAAGTTTAAGTTACAAATTGTATATTTTAATTCTTTAAAGACTAATTTGTATAATTTTCAAAATTCAAATATTAAAAATGTAATTAACTCAATTATAGATGAAGTCAACTAAAATAGATTTTGGCAAAAAAAAAAAAAAAAGATAACATTGTAACTCTATATGAATGTAAATAAGTAATATCTAAAAGTATTCCAACGATTTTGGAAGGGTTATGGCTTAACATTTGACAGTTCAATTGGTTGTCATTTATCCAGCAATAAATCTCTCAAAATCTTACCTTTAATAAAAAATAGAAAAATAAAATGAAATAAAATAAAATTATATAAAAATATGGCATAGGATTATATAATTAATAAAATAAAATAAATAATTAATTAATTAGTATATTTAAAATGCTTAATAATAATTATATAAAAATGTGACATAGGATTATACATTTAATTAAATAACATAAATACATGATTAAATAATATATTTAAAATTCTTAATAATAATTATATAAAAATGTGGCTAAAGTTTTTACACTTAATTAAATAAAATAAATGCATAATTACATGATATGTTTAAAATGCTTAATTATTATATCTTTGATAAAATTATATGTAAATTTTTAAATAAAGAGCAAATCAATCCACTATTAATTTTCACGATGATAAATAACAAAAATATATAATTTATATATATGATGTAAATATTAATTGTTTTAAAATTTTCTATTTTCTTCTAAAAAAACTAATTATTTTATTTTTATTTGATAACTATTATATGCTTATATGTTTCTTTAAATCGATGATATATATTTCATTAAAAGGACAACAAACATATATAATTTATATTCACTAATTTTGATATAAATATTAATTTATTTTAAAATTTTCTATTTTCTTCTAAACTAACTAATTATTTTATTATTTTTATAATTTCAAAAAAGAAAGAAACGGAAGTGAAAAGTATGTCTCGTAAAAATAACATGCTTGAGTAAATAAAATAAAAAAATAATATATTTGAATGATTTATTTATTTTATACATAATATACTTATTTTTATATAATATATTAGTTCAAAATACGTGATTTGATGCATGAAAAACATATTTATATTTAATTATGATAAAAATCATCCAAATAAAAAAATTCTAATTTTATATAAAAAATACTAAAAAAAATTAAAAATAACATTTAATCGGTGAGTGAATTTGAGATAGTTCGTCCTTTTCAACGAAAAAATTTTGAGTTCGAATCTTATCGGTGATCACTTGTTGAAGTGGTTTCGAATGCACATTTATTGGAGTTATTTCGAATGCACGACCTACAATCACTTATCTTAAACTATCAGGTATGATACATCTTATCATAATTTAAGAGACTGAATAACTTATTTACCTTGAATTTTTTCATATTTTTTAAAAAATAAAACATTTTAAATGGGCTAATATGTAAAACTGTTCATGTATTATATATCTTCTATCAATTTAATATTTAAAATAATAAAATTTAAATTTAAATATTTTAATTTTTATTTCATCAAATATTTTTAATATTTTATTATTAATAATTAAATAACTATTGTGATATAATATGTGTAAAAAATCATATTATATATCATAAATGCTTAATTATTATCACATCAGCATCAATAAAAAATTTTTAAAAATAAAAAAAATTGAAATCTGATTTTAAAAAATTAAAAAAGAAAGAAACCATAGAGGAGAGAGACGGGGGGAAGGAGGGAAGGGGAAAGAGAGAGAAGGAAAGGAGAGACTCTGTCGGTCGATCTGAGAATGAAATTGGGGTCGATTTGCCCTGGACCTGGCCAATCTGCTTCATTTGTCCCCAACGAGTAAGGTCGCTGTCGCTGTCGATCTGTCAGATTTGAGGCAGATAGATTCTGATCCCACTCTAGGGTGACCGATCGGTGCCAGCAAGGCCTTCCCTATCTCCCTCATTTCCTTCTATCTCTCGATCCCTTTTCTTCCTTCCCACTCTCTCTCTTTTCGATTCCTTCTCCCTTTTATTTTTTTTAAATTTCGAATTAAAAAATATATTTTAAAAAATTGTTGAACTTTTTATTTAAATGTTGATATGATAATAAATAATATAACTATAACTTAATATTTATGATAGGTATTATAATTTTGTTAGGTATTAATCTTATAACTTGACTAACAGTTTTAAATCAGAATACAAAATGTTTGATAAAATAAAATTTTAAAAATTTAAATATAAATTATTTTTTAAAAATATAAAACTGATAAAAAATACAAATACTACTTTTATATTTAATCCATTCTAAATTGTTTAGGCAGTACACAGTAATCTATTCCAAAATTTACGCAGAAAGCATTTGAAAAGCTGAAAAGATAAAATGATTTCTTCAACTTTAAATCAAGTATGAAGTGATAGCCAAACGCGGCCCATTGCTTTAATCTCATTAGAATCTCCCTGAAAGGAAAAAAAGAAATAAAAATTCCACGCAATGCCGAATCCACTTTTTGCGTCAATCTCGCGGGATTCCAAATTTAATATCCAACCATCCGACGTTTGCGTTGTCGCTAATCGCCTTAATTGTATTGTTGGGGGCAGGCCTGCTGTGGTGGCAGCTGGCGCGTTACATCAACATTAATATGATAAATATCTTTTGAGTTTGGTACGAATCATATAAATTTGTAAACCTAA